AGACACGGGTCACGACGAGGCGTTCCCCATAGCGACCCCTAGAGGACGCAGTTTGAAGTTCCCATGAAAGGGAACCACGGTTCTCTGTACCAATTTCGGTACTATAGCAAAACACAAAAACATGCTAATTAAAAAACACATTATTTTTATTAATAAAGTCAAACAAAAATGAAATGTACAAAAATCAATGCCATTCTTTATACTTATTTAAAATTGTGTTTCGTCTGTTTTTCAAGTTTCACCCAAAAGTTTTTGTCATATTTGTGCTGCTGCCGAAAAACAACTGTAAACTGTTGTCTGTTTTAGGGTTTGCTAGTGTGTTTCATGATCTTCCTCAGCCTGCAGCTGTAAAAGGAAAATATAATAAACTTAAGTAAAGCAATGGGCTGAGTCTGACCAAATGCAACATTAAATCATTGACAACAGCTATAATATAACTTTTCAGTAAATAACAAACCTCTGCTTTTATAATAAATTTAGATAAGATACATATATTTTAAGTCAAGTCTATATCAAATAGATGGAAACTGTAGTATTAAAAACACTTTACAATAAGATTACATGTGTTAGATAACATAACCCATCAATAAACAATAGTTATAGCAATTATTCTTCTTAGGGTTAATTTCAAAATGTACTAATACATAAAATCAAAAATTCAATCTGTTAAAATTATTTAATGCACAATGAACAAACATGAATCATCAAGTGTTTGTATTAAATAACATTCAAAAACATTAATTAATGTAAAAATATATTGTTCGCTCACTGTAAGTAATAATAACATGAAGCCATGTTAATGAATGATATCGTATTGTGAAGTCTATACAGGAGATAAAAATTTGACTATACTTTCATTTAATCCAAACTGTGTACATATTTTTTTACCCTAATAAAAGTTATAGGAGCATTAAATAGTTAATAAAGAAGCTTCATTCTAATGCTCATCAGTGTTTCCCACAGACTTGCACTCTATTTGTGGCGGCATATATATGCAAATTAATTCTCTGCCAGCAGGAGGGTTAATAAAGAAGCTTCATTCTAATGCTCATCAGTGTTTCCCACAAACTTGCACTCCATTTGTGGCGGCATATATATGCAAATTCATTCTCTGCCAGCAGGAGGCTCTTGTAGAGCGGGAGAGATAGAGGTTTCCCCGGTAACCGCTGTACACAAAGCAGCGCTCCCGCTCACAAACGCTGCTCAGGCATTACAGGCAAGATGAAATGAAAATGACATCCAATTTTAATCCGTGTATCATTCGATCATTTGTTTTTTGATTTAATATTGAAAGTAGAAAAATGAGAAAACGGCTCCTTTTTCGTTTTTTTTTTATTTTTTCCCCCAAAAAACGAAAAACGAGAATTCAGCTTAAATTTTCGTTTTTCGTT